GGAGAGTTCAGTGCCGCAGCGGACTTGAAAGGAGCGATTTGAAAGGTAGGATTTGAGGACTAGATACAAGGGTTGAGGTAAATGGGTTTTGAGCTTGAAAAGCAAGCCATCGTGCCACACCCGGTCGAAAGCTTGAGCTACGTCCAGAAAGGCACCAGTGCAATATTGCTTGTTTTCAAGTGCAGAGGATATGTGGTCCACAACGCGAAGGCCTTGTTGGACAGTGGAGTGTCTTGAGCGGAATCCAAACTGATGGGAAGGGATATTGTGGGATTCCAGTATGGGTAGGATGCGTTTGAGAAGGATTTTCTCAAAGATTTTGGAAAGGATCGGAAGTAAGCTTATCGGTCTATAGGATGATGTACAATTAACAGGTTTACCTGGTTTAGGAAAGAGGATAATTATGGAGTGTTTCCACACCAGAGGAAAGTGGGTTGTGCGGAGGATACAGTTGAATAGGTATGTAAGGAATATAATTGCTTTTTTGGGAAGTTGTCTGAGGATCTGGGAAGTAAGGAGATCGTGTCCTGGAGATTTGCGAGGTTTTAGGTTCTTTAAAAGGAATTTGACCTCAGAGGGGTTGACGGCTTTAGGAGGTAAGGAGAGAGGAATCGGTGAAGAGAGGAATTCTTTAACTTCAGCAGTATGGGAGGGATGGAGTTCAAGATGAGGAGTGAATGTGTACGATAGATGTTTAGCAAACTCTTCTGCTCTATTCTCATCTTACGAAGCCCAGGAACCATCATCACGGCGGAGCGAGTGGGAAATGGATTGGAATTTAAGGATTTTTTTAGTTACATTCCAGAGGGAGTTATCACTTGCAGATAGTGAGGAAAGATAGGAATTATAGGATTGGGATCTAAACGTAGCCAGTTTTTGTTTTACCTGCTTGGAATAATAGTTATATGATTTCCGATCATCAGGATGCCTGGTTCTTTGCCAGATGGTCCTAGAGCATCGTTTTCTATTAATAAGGTCCAGTAGGTCTTGGGGTAGAGGATTTATTTTGCGGTATTTTTTAGAAGGATAAGGTGAAGATGCAGTCCAAACTGCTTGTTGGATCAAGGTAGTCATGGAATATACTGCTTCATCTAGGTCTGCGGGTGTTTTTAAGGAAACTCTGAGGTCAATATTATCATCCAGTATTTGACGGAAGAGGTTCCAATTAACTGGCCCCCTGATAAATGAAGGTGGAGGTGGTTTGGGAATTGGTGATGTGGAGACCGTTAGGATTAGGGGACTATGGTCTGAGGAAAGATCATCAAGTCTTGAGATGCAATAATGAAGGGACCCTAGACCTTTGTGGATGAAAAAATCTAGGAGATCGGGATTGCGGTTAGGATCTGTTGGCCAGTATGTGGGAGAATTGGGTGAGAGGATGTTGCTGTGATGGGAATTAAGTGCAGATAGCAATGTTCGTCCTCGGGAATTTGTGGTTCTGGCTCCCTATTGCTGGTGTTTAGCATTTAAGTCTGCACCTAGAAGGAAGTGGTATCCTAAGGAGTTAAGGAAGGAAGTTAATTGGGATTCTGAGATGGGTATTTTAGGCGGGGAGTATGCTGCGACTACTGCTATTGGGTAAAGGGAAGTTTGGATTATCACGGCAGTGGATTGTAGGAAATTATGGGTTAGCAAAGGGAATAGATGATGGGAAAGGGATTGATGGATAATTATGGCAGTGCCAGCATGTGCTGTTCCATCAGGATGGTCGGTTCGATAGATATGATAGTTGGGGATGTTAAGTGGTCGTTTGTTGGTAAGTCGAGTTTCAGTTATTAATGCTATATCAATGTTTTTGTCCTGTAATAAGATTGTTAGTTCGTTGACGTGATTTCGAATACCATTCGCATTCCAAAGGAGAACGGAGAGGGATTTTATTGGGGGCATTTAAGGATTTCTCGACAGTGGGATGAGGTTGGATACAACATTGGTAAGCAAGGAAATGAGAGGAGTGATGAGTGACCTGAATTCAGAGAGGAAGGAAGTCAATAGGCTTGTGAGGTCAGTGGCAGTGTCACTTTTTAACCGATTAAGTTTATTTTCTAAAGAACTGTTTAAAATATGTTAAAAAATAAACAGTGCCTTAGAAAGATAAATTTATTCTCTAGATGTTTTAATTAAAGGAATTATTCTTTATTGTTGACCGTTATTGTTTAATTACAAATGATGCTTGATTTTCAACTTTAGTTTGACTATACAGGTATTTTTGATTGCCAAGGCCAATTATTTTAAAAACATTTTTGATGCCTCATTTAATAAAAGACCAATCAGGACGAAATTAAGCCAACTGCTGTATCTCAGTGACTGAAAACTAACTCAAGTCAAAGTCGTCACTCAGCCATTTCGGGGCAATGGGGCCACTTTTATTTGTCGGAACATGGTCTATTTTTTTAAGAAAGAACACAACGATATGCAATTTATAATGATGTGGAGACAGGCACAGAAAAGGGGTCTGGCCCACAGACTACCCTCTCCCACCAAACCTTTTCCCCCCTCCATCACCCCTCCTTCAAAATATTAAAATTAATAAATATTTACTTGACTTACTCATATCAGACAGGTTATTGGAGATAAAAGATAATATGATCAAACATGAAAAATAATTTAAATAGAAAATAAAATTTTCTAAAATTTGAAAATCTGTATCTCGTAAACTATTTGATTTACTGAGGCTGGTGTTGAAATTGTATTATATTTAATCTATTTTAAATTTTTTTTAGAGTGTTTTGTCGAAAACGTGCTCCTTCATTAATAAAATGGAGAAAACAGAAAAACATACGAAAATAAAGCAGTTTTGGGGATATTCAAATGTGATCCGAGAGAGCGCCGAGGTTGAAAACTTGGATTTTGCATCTGAGTCATATCTTATACAAGAAAATAAAAAGAAGCCTTCTACCCCCATTGAATGCTAGTTACAATGTACAAGGTTATTGGGCTATAATGAGCTTAAGGATTATTTGTTTTATACTGACATCTGGCATAATTGCTACAGAATTAACTGTATGAAGTTTAGGATAAAGATTCTATTTAGTTCCTACAGAAATTCTATTCAGATTCCATAGATACATTTATTTTTCATTCAATTAAAAAGTATACATTTTTGACTAAAACAATTAAGTAGTCATCAGTTTTGTGTCAGTCTGTAATAACTTCTTTTTCTTTACAGTTTCCTAAACCCTCAGCTTTCCAGCTTCTTCTCAGCTTGTTTTCCGAAAATCCGTTTTCAACCTGGGATTTTTTTCTCCTTTTTTTAATTAGCTTTATAGGGATTCTTTCATTACTAACAACTTAACCGGTCAGTTTCACGTAAAACAATTTATAATTACAATTTTTCTTGATATGTATACACAGCTTGTTCGTCTTCCGTTAGCTTTGCGACCGTCTGTCTTCTTCTTCTCTTCCACTCCTGTCTCTGACATTCTTCCTGGTTCAGCACCTTCTGTTGTTCCCAAGAAGTGAGTTGGACCGAACATTGTCTTTCGCTCGCAAAGGAAATTCTTGACAGGCTGCAACTGGAGCATAGGTAATTGATATTCTTCCCATGTTGAATGAGCTTTTCGAAGCCTGTAGGCCCACTGAGCAGTTAAAAAACTCAGTAATCAAGTTTTCCCATTTTGCTGCTGATCTGAAACCGGGGAGTGGGAAAATATTTCCTCAAAGTACCCTCTTTTGAAATCCTTAAGTACAACCGGTTCCATTTATAAATTATATACTCTCAAATAATCTTTTTTCCATTTGTATGTTTCTCGTTTGATCCTCACACGGAGTGTCTCCAGTAGACTTGCCGAAGCTTTCCTCGTCATCTGGTGCCTAAACATGTCTTCCTGCAAAGTATAATGCCGCCTCCTGAGAAACCGCCTTGTAAGCCCTCACAGCAAAGTCATCTGCAGAATCTACGCCAACCTGCTCTTCTTTGTTTTCTTTTTCTTTCCATTTTTCACTATCTCAACTGTATGTTTTTTTCCGAACCGGAGGAGATTAGGAGAACAAGTGCCAGAGTTAAAAATTCACCGGCACCGGGATTTGAATTCGTATTCTTCGGTATATCGTGCTGGCGGCTAACACGTATTTTAAATAGCTGTGGCCACCTTACCCAATCTAACCTGCTCGTTGGTGCCAAAGATTCAGATTTCCAGACGGGGAAGGTATTACTCAGAATATGATCCTTTCAGTTGAAAGAATAACTAACTCTAATTTCAACATTTTCGAGTAATGTCATTTTAGTGATAAGTCTAGTTGGAAAATTTATCATACTTGTACAGACAGTATTAATGTTGATTCCAGATTCGGTGATTGCAGTGATGAAATAAAAAACTTTGAATAAAGTTATACATTTTTCCACTAGAACTATCACTAGAATTAATAATCAAGAATATTGATATAGGAGTTAATCATTCTGTCAATTGAAATCCAGGATTACTGTTTTATAAATGAGAATATTCTTTAAGTATTCGATGTCCCAAATGCACCCATTCCTCCAACTCAAAGGCACTCCAATTTCATATTGACCCTTTCAATACCGTTGGAATTAGTAAAGAGTGCATTTTCTATAACAAAACTCCCAAAATTATTATGGAATTATCTAGGTACCCACAACCCGCGCAATCCCTAAAAATGTCATCAAATCGAATGGTGGTAGGAAATGGCCCCATCAAACGGAATTGACAACAGAGGCCAACAAAGACGACGGAATCATAATTGTAACTTGATATGTAAAACATAAAACCAGAGTGAAAATTTTCAATTCTGAAGACGAAATTGAAAATAAAAAAATAATCTTCCACACGAATACAAATCTTCCCTGTATTTGAAAGTAGAGACCCTTTATTAAAGAAGTAAGATATTCAGTGTAAGGAAAGATCTGACTGTTTCATAGACTAATTTATCATACTTGACCTTTATCTTGAATTATTTCAGTTTATAATCTCGATCACCTCAAGTTTTAAATTCTAATTGTACCAAGTTCTTAATACAACAAGCTTGTGGTTAAGATCATTTACCTGAGACTCTTGTACATACTCGTGTGTATAGGGAGACCATACTCGTCCTTGCCAACCTGCTCAGTGTAAACCCAGGTCCCTCCGATCTGTGAGGTTTGCTCGTAGACGACGAACTCGAAGAGATGCGGAGAAGCTGTGAGATGTCGGGCCGCCGCGAGACCAGCAGCACCGCATCCGATAACACAAACTCTCTTTTTAACCTGAAAAAAACAATAGATTATATTTATTGATTTGTAATTCATTTATATTTTTATGATAATATACCAAAAATTAAATAAATGCGTAATTAGGCATTAATTTAATACCTATACTTGGCTTATTTTCTCATTAAACAATAATAAGTTAAGTTTAACGGATTTTTTGTTTCAGTCCCTTGAAAATGTGCAAAGATTACCGCATTAAAAAAAATGTTATGGTTCTGACCTCATAATGATTTGATTCGTCCTGAATCAACTTTGCACAACACAGTCCGATCTTGCCTCTTTGAACCAAACGTTATTATATATAGAATTATTAGCATAATAATTTTTCATCATAATTAAAAATTAATATTTCTTCTGAAACTTCTAGTACAGGCATAGAAACATATCCTGAACATGTTAACTGAAGTGCATGATGTGTCTTAAATAACATTCCCGACAATATCGGTCCCCAGCGACCGACATTATTTATGAAGTTCCTAATGTCATCAGACATTGGAACATCAGACACAGGGGAAACAAATCTAATGAAAAGTGAAATGGTTACTATGGTAACATCACTATCTTTATATATAATACGGTAATATTTCACAGTTTAGACTCCTTTTCCGGCATGCAGAAACAATGGATTTAGACGAATGAGGTATCAATCGAAAGGGAATTTCATGAAGAAGTGACGAATCATAGTCACATCCTCTCGAAATATCCGGGAAAAAATGGTGAATGAAAAGAAACTTTAGTTGCGAATAACTCAAAAATTAAACATTTGTTTCTCGACTAGACCCATAATTATTTGAAAGATAACTAAATACTCTACAAAAAAAACAATATCGGAATCGGACCATTATTAACAAACATACAGCCTACAGTAACTTACACGTTTTTTTACACATGTTATACGGTTTATTATTATGAATGAAGTGATTGATCGTTGATAAAGTTATTCGACTGATAAAAAGAAAATGATTTCTTCTATCTTATCATACATTGCACTGACTTATTTTTATATTATATCGTCAATTTTTCTCTGACCAAAACACTATGAATTTTATTCGCACCGGCCAACTAGTTTTTCATAAATTTGACATCCTTTGTTTGAATTACCGTATTTTCTAGTTATTTTTATTTCTCTCACCTTCGTGGTTTTGATTCAATCATAATCAAGTGTTACTATTTGTACTAATCTCTACAAAGGAATTTTTTGCCATTAACATTAAAATTCTATCTTGAAGTGAATAGTGAAAAAAAATTATTAATTTTTTTTTATTTATTTAAATATCTAAAATATCACTACGAACATGCATACACATGTTTATATACATATACATGCATATACATATTCAAAATAAAAATTGAGACTATAAAGAAAAACAATGTCGTAGTCTTTGTAAACTGTTCTGATTTTTGTTTATAAAAGTTGTAATTAAGGTATTAATTAATTAATTACGTGTTCATTATTTAATTATTTAATTCTGTTCTGCAATATTAGAACCCCATTTTAATCTAAAGGAACGTTATACTTTTCATTTAATAAATTTGCTGGCTTTTATTGTATTTAATTCGAAGAGAAATGAAATGGTAAGCTCTAGTTGAATGAGGAAGTTAACTTCAAGGGCGACTACAACTTCACAACTCACAATACGCAGTTCTTAGTTTGTTTGATCGCCGGGAACACGATATATAGCTAATAAATAAATATATATATATATTTGAAAAATTGATATATATATATCATTAAGTGCCAAACTAAAGTTTTCGTGAAAACAGTTCATGTATGCAGTTATTGGGTGTAGTTAACTTAAATTGGTATTGACGTCCGTTGGTAAAAACATTGCATTATTGAAGTATTAGAAAATTCAAGGAAGGAAATCTTACTTCCGGAGAAGAGTATTTTTATCTGAGCAAGCAAGGTATGCAAAAAATGGGATATTTCATTTCAGAAATAGCGATAATATCTAATTAATTTATTTCCCGCGATCATTCGATAATGACCAGTAGTTGGTGTCAATTATTAATTATAAATCAACAAGCTCAAAATTGGAGAAGTGTGAGGGAAGACTAACTGCAGAGAGGTCAATGGCTACATGCAGGGCTGATTGGTATTTTCTTTGTTTCTATTCCAAAGGCTAACGGGTATCTGACAAGTACAAAGATGATAGATCGTTTGTCATTGTGTCTATAGTTTTGTTTTATTTTTAAGGCCCATTCCCAACGAAATGTAATTGGTTTCAAAATCACTTTCAAGGGGAGGCTACAGTCAGGGGGTTTTAGCCATATTTCAACCAAAATTGTTTTGCTGATACTACAACGAAAACTATTGGACACATTCATTTTAATGAGCTCTAGGGGCCGAGAAAAAAAAAAAAAAAAAAAAAAAAAAAAAAAAAAAAATATATATATATATATATATATATATATATATATATATATATATATATATATATCTTAACGATTTGATTTGTTGAGTAAAATAAGAAAAATATATTGGCTATAGAATTAAACGAGTTATAATTTATCAAAAATTACAAAAAGCTAAAGCCGCTTCCAGTAAAGTAGGCTAGATCATTTTTTTTATGAAAAAGCAAGTTAGATTCGTTTCTGCTTCCTTTGAAACTCTTAGATACGAATTTTTATAGAAAACAAAAATTGCAAAATTTAATACTTGATTCTCTTTTTGGAACTTTTATTTAAAAATGTTGGGTGTGCATCACACTACTTTCACTCTTATTAGAGGAAATAAGTATTTTCAGACCGATTTTGATGAAAAAGTTGCTGTAACATCTCAGGTATATCTTCTTCTGTGTCTTCCTCTTTAGTGCCTTTCAGAGTGGAAGGGCCTCCACCCATTTAAGCCAGTCATCACGGTCCTTCGCCTTCGCCAGGTCTCTCATATGGCCCTGCTGTTCGCCCCTTTTCTGTCCGAGCTTAGTCACTTCGGCAATCCAAGTTTTCCGTGGACTTCCTCTTGGCCTCTTTCCTATGGATCATGCCTCAACAAATTTTCTGGGTACCCTATCCTCGTCCATCCATAACGTGGCCGAACCATTCGAGCGTTTTCTTTTCCACGGTTTTCAGCATTGGTTGCACCTGAACATTTTCTCTAATCCATTCGTTTCGGATCTCTTCTAGTTCGGCCAGCTACTCTTCTCAGATATTTCATTTCGGCAGCGGCCTACTTTTGTGCCTATCTAGAAGGACCCAACTCTCACTACCGTACAGTAGGGTTGGAAGGCTATTTCGGCTATACGGCTATAGGCTATTTAGGCTATACGGGATTTTCCTGGGCCGGAGCGTGAGGGCGGGGAATTTAAAATCCCCTCCGGCACCGGGATGCGAACTCATAATTTGTTTAATCTTCTCAAATCTCTTAACTAGTTGCCAGGCAACTCGCGGTGCAGTGCACACGCTTTAGCCCATTCGACCACTCCGCCCCCTTAGAGTGTATTGTATATATGGATCTTAGTTATATTTTCCACCTCTCGTTTTCCTAAGACCGTGTTGCAGGTCTGGTAATAGATGCCGTATTCTTTTTTGAACCTGTTTGATATCTCTTGGTCTATTTTTCCATTTCTACCAACAACTGTCCCTAGATATGTATATTCCTCTACCAACTCCAGATTCTTACCCCTACAGTATATTTGTATGTCTTCGATTTCTCGACCTATCTGCTTAAATATGCAATTTCACTTTCATAAGACTTTTCCTTTTTGAGTTAGACTGGTCGCATCTATTCACACACACACACACACACCATTTTTTGGGACTTGGTTATTGGACTAAGGATACCTCAAAATATGAATTTCCGTTCAAAACTCAGATTCGAAAATTTTCACAATCCAAATATTGTCCCTTACTATATATTTCATAAATTGATAAGTGAAAGTAAACATAAATGCAGGATTTTTTTTTTTTGCCCATAACTAAAGCATTCATAACTTCTCTGGATTTTCTCCAAATTCAACGTTAGTGCGACCGTTGGAAACTCTTTCAACCTACATCGATAACTTTAAGATTCCATCCTTCTGAGAAAAAAAAAAAAAATTCTAACTGTCGATTTCGCTAAATGTCGGTATAAAAAATCACTTTTATTCATAGCTATTCCAACAAACGACACATTGATATCATGTGTAATTCATTTAAGACAAATTATAACTCAAATCTAAATCCAACTACTGTTCATTCATTTAACGGAACTTTTTAAAAAAGGTTCATAAAACTTTTGGTTTAAATTATTGCAAGTACTTTTAGCGTAAACGATATTCTCAATTCTTTCTCCCACTGTTGCAAGTTATATTGGTTTTTCTGACTGTCTGATCAACATAAGCCGGCATATTTATTTTCGCAGAAGCAAAAAGTTTTCCTCTATGTCAATAACAAAATAATTAGAAGTTTGTCTCTCCGCATTATTTATAAAGCCTACAAACAATATTTATGGGTAGTTGTACTGTGGTAATTTCTTAAAGGTATTCAGATCGATTTGCGTTTACGGTTATTGCTACTTTCTTAAGGGTTATACGAGCGTAGCGCGATTTCAAAAGACTACACCCTTCCTCGATAAACCGTCAATTTAACGCAAAAAGAATTTTTCAGCCCTGTGCATTATCATACATTAATACAATCGGTTATTGAAGGTATGAATTGTTAAAATTAATAAAAATCCATTTGATTTGATTTTTTCTAAACTTTTCTGAGACGATGAAGACGGTGTATTTACATTTTGGTAAAGATCTTTGGTCTTTTTACATATAGACATAGTAATTTATAATTGATTTAATTTTTTTTCTTCTTGTTTTCTCTAGGCTTCATTAGTGCAATTATCAATATTTTTTTTTTTGCTTCTTGATGCATTTTATGAAATATTGTAAGATGAGGATTAAACATAATTAAGTATATTTACAGAACTCTGTCAAAATAATGTGTTGAAATTATTTGTCTCTTTCTACTGATCCCATCGAGGATTTCAGTATCTCAAAACCTTCCCGAGACAACAGTTACTTAGTTATGGCGGTTAGCGCTTACAAATAAAAAACTTGTTCTCACATATAATAGTATGATAATTGCATAATAATATTCAAGATATTCGAGATTCATTCTCCTCGTGTAACACTCTAGTTTTTTCTTATCACCTTCTCTAACGCTGTTCATCTTAGACCAGCATCGATGATTGAACATTTAGGACTACGCCTTCGTCAATCTCGCCGATGTTTTGAGAACTATCGGCTCAGTAATGATCTATTGTATTTGGAGGGTAGAGTGGGTTTTGCATTTTATAACCTCGTTTGGGCTTAAGTATATATTCGGTGTGTTGGGATGTTTTTAAAAGATGGTGAATTTTGACAATATTTCGGCAACTCCAATCTGTTTTTAAAATTTTCTGCACGTTCACAGCAATCCAGAAAAAGTAAAGGATTGACATTTCGTACGGAACATAAGTTGTGTTAGGAAAGTACTTTTGGGGGGTCACAACTTTCTGCTCTCGTAAAGACAGATATAAGGTTCAAAATTTGAATACGAATTGAGTTAGAGAAGTGCCGTTTGGGAATGAAAACTTTTTCCCCATCCCGTCACCATTTCCACCCCATGCCATTTTTAATTCTTGATTTTTTTATGGTTTTGGAATCCTCTAAAGCCACTTACAATTCAGTTACAATATTGAAATTTGTCTGTTTGGATGATTACTTTCACTACTTTTGCGCCGTTTTAAGGCTTTGTACACCTCCGAAGCTATAGGTTTGAAAGTTTTTTATTTAAATTGCATAGATGTAGATGTTCATCCCACCTTTACCATTTTTAGTGATTTCAGCGGTTTTAAGGTTTTAGTCTCCGGTACAATCTCTTCTAAATAATTTAGAATGTTTAAAAATGATTTGTGAATCGAGATGGCATTAGAAAAAAAATTATTAAATTAAATACCGAAAAAAATGACAAAATGTTTAAAAACAAAACGAGAGAAAGAAATTCAGCTTTAAAATTGATTTTTAGATCGTATTAGCGTTTCTCAAAAACAGAAAAACAAAAAAATAGATAAATAAACTTTACAAATAAAAACTGACCGGTTTTCAAGGACATAGATAAAATGAAAATCAAGCATTAGATTATTAATTCTTAATTTTAAAAAAGTTTAAGGCTGGATAAATATTCGATCGTTTCTGTATTTATTTACCAAATTAATTGTTTAAAATCGTTTATTACATCTAATTTATATGATTATATTGGCCTAGATAGATTCTTTCTTAAATCAAAATAAACAATAATTTTTAAAAAAATTAATTTATTATAAGAATCAATTACAGAATTTATCACTTAATGATTTCAGCAACCGCTACAACCTCAGTGAGGAGGAATCCAGAATATAGAAAAACAATTTTTAATATTACTGATCTTAAAATGATCAAAATGAAATATCAAGTCCCTGAACTCGCAAACGAAAATGTCACATTCTTATTTCAAAATCAGGTTCATTGGAACATTATGTTCCTGGATCATAATGAACATGACGTTTTCAATCAAAACTATGGTTGCATAACATAATTCCGTTACCGTTAACATTCCAACAGGGAAAATTTCTTACCAAAAAGAAATGGGTTTTGTTCCATAATGAAAGATAACATTTGAAATGAAGTTTACCAAAAAATATTGTTTCATTCTATATTTTAAAAAGTATTAAGTATTAAGTATCAAAAGTATATTCAAAGTTGACTTATTTTTTAACTTATTTTAAATAAATAATTACGCTTATCTTATTCAACATTAATTAAATATTCAAAAAACAAGAAGACTTACCATTCTTCGAGTCCAGCCGCTAACAACTGACAGGTTGGTAAAACCAGGTCGCAGCAAGAGCCAGTTCCCCCACTCCTGAGGATATCTTGGAAGATTTATCTCTTCCTCATTTTTATTATCTTTTGTTATAAATTTATCTTTATTCCGTAGATTATAAAGCTTCGTTAATAGTCAAGTATTTAAGAATATTAGTTATTAGCTAGATGGCATTATTAATTTTGTTAATCATAATTAATTTTGTTAATCATAATTAATTTTGTCTTTTTTAGCATCTAAAGGATGCAATGCAATATTTTTTCTATAAGGCTCTGAAACCTGTCATGATATTATTCTTGGTTCATTCTGCAAGAACATGAGGAGAAGCATTATTAAACTCTTTACTAGTAACATATTAATTTTCATAATTATTAAAATTAACTTTGCATTGATTTTTCTATCAAACATATAAAAATAAAAAATAAAAAATATATATATGGTTTGACTTTAAAGTATCTATTCAAGGAAGAGATATATTTTATTAATCAAAGAATCTGTTTCAGCTTTACTTGAAGACAGTTTGCTAAAATATATTGTATTGACTACCTATTACAGATGTCAAACTTAAATGGAATTGTTTCATTATTTAATGATTTTACATCTTTTTGTCAATTTATGTTTCAATTTAAATTCTCAGTCAATGAAGTATAATTCATTCAAGAAAAACAATAATAATAAAAGAAACTTTAAATTATTGTTATTCTTAGCAATGACAAATAAATAACTGTAATTCATTAATTTGGAAGAATATTTTCTTTGTTTACGATATATCTCTTCCCTGCCTTCTGGCAATATGGATTTTGACTAATTATGCATTTATTTTAATATTACCAATACAGACCCAGGCATTCAATTTTGATTGGGGAGAGGCCATGTAATAATAAAAATGGCGGGAATTTTTCTGATGTGTACAAATTCAACATAACTATTGTACAACGAACAAATATAATATTGAATATTCAAAATATATTTGTATACTTGTAGTTCTTTTTGTTTGCCCCATATTCCATGGTCTTTAGAGGATCTCTGTGGTTGTACATCCTGATAACATGGTCGAACCACTTTAGCTGACGACTTTCTAGGAGCTCTTTCCGCGGGGCTATTTGCAATTCCTGACAAATCCTTTCATTGCGATCTCGGTGTCTCCTTGTTTTGCCGACCGTCCTTCGCAGAAATTTCATTTCGGCAGCTCTGATTCTACTCTCCTGTCGGTCTGTTAGTATCTAGCTCTCCGCTCCATACAAAAGCACGGGTAGATATACTGTCTTGAAAATGTGTAACTTGACATCTTCGCCTACTTCTCTCTTCCCCACCTCAGTGTTACCTATCTGGTAGAAAACTGCATTCGCCTTATTAATCCTGTTTGATATTTCTGCGTCTATCTTCCCAGATCCGTCTATCACTGAACCCAGGAATGTGAAGTCTGTTACCACTTCTAATTCTTCTCCATTGCAGTATATGTGGATATCTTCCTTCTTTCTTCCAACTTATAGGATCTTACTTTTGTTGGTATTTATAAGCATCCCTTTTCGTTGGAGCTCTTCATATCATTCCATAACTGCCAATTGTAACTTTTCCATTGAGTCCGTAAACAATATCACGTCGTCGGCGTAACAGTATCACTACAGGATTAAGATTCCTACGTCCCAGGAATGTCTTATCCGTTCTTGTCTTACAAATGGATGCCACTTCATCCATGAACAACATAGGGCTTAGGCTGTCGTTTGACTCCCTTTGCAATACTGAAATAATTTGATTGTAGCTCGTTCAGCCTGACTATTCCTTTGGACTCTTGATATATAGATTTAATCGCCTCTGTCAGGTTTCTCGGCACGTTCTTCGCTCTGAGAGCTTCCCACATTTCATCTCGTGGAACCGAATCAAAGGCAGATTTGAGGTCAAGATACCTATTTTTATACAGGTTCCAGGATTTCTGTAAGAAATTTCTTAATGAGAAAATGTGGTCATGGGTTTGGCGTCCTGGTCTGAACCCAGCTTGTTCTTCTCCTATTAAGTGCTCAACTAGTGGTCTTAAGCGACCCACCAATATGGATGTATACAACTTGTACGCAACTGGCGAGAGGCATATGGGTCTGTAGTTAGAGCATTCTTCCTGACATCCTTTCTTGTGAATTGGTATTATAATATTATATTCCCAATCCGTTGGAATCCTTTTTTGTCCCAGCTTTTCGGAAAAAAGGACTTGCAATACACGCTCCAGCCAACCATTCTAATTCAGCTACTACACCATCCCTTCCTGGCGCTTTTCCTGTTTTCATTTCGTATATGGCTCTCCCTACTTCCTCTTCCTCAATCACCTCGTCTTCCCCTTTCCATTTCCGTTGGTTGAATGGTAATCATCAATACCAAACTGATTCCTGTAATGATGTCTCCTGACCTCTAAGATAGCTCTGTCTTCTGTGACCACTTCTCCTTCCTCATTCTTCACAATTCTCACTGCCTTGCTTTTACGTCCTCTTAGATCTTTAATTTTTTTTCAGAAAATCCTGATATTTTCTCGATTATCCTGATCCAACTTTCTTCCAAATTCTTCTGTTTCGCCACTCTTATTGCTTCTTTTCTCTTGTTTCGGGCCAACACGTATGCTTGCCATTTCTCTGGAGTTTTGTCCCGATGGTATCTCTTCCACGCTGTTTTCCTTTGCAAGACCTGCACTCTCAGTTCTTCACTCCACTATAATGAACGTTTATCTTTTGTGCAAATCTTTTTCACTCCACACTTTCCTTTATAATTCGTCTTTCAATATAAAACCTACTCTTTCCACAGCTCGGTTTCCTGATAGGACTCCGGAGTATACCAAACTTTGGCCTTTGTTTATTTTTATTTCTCCAACTCCTTCCTTTTTAGTTCACTTGATCTCAGGACGTCCAACCTATACGACGTCATTTCCTCAATGATCTCCACCTCCTTGCCGGTGAGTAATCTCATTTTCCCAAACGTATGTCCTTATCCATGGCGTGTCGTTTCCTTTAAGACTGTCCAATTCCGAGGCTTGTTGCTAATTTTCTCTGAACCGGTGATTCTTTCTTATGGGTGATTAGCCCAGTAGGAGAGGCCCCGTATCTTCGGGACAACTGGCCTCCTGAATATTTATGTCCCTTCAGGAGTAAGGGTGGCCGGCCTATACCCCTCAGCACTGGGTACCTGTTGGTCCACGGGTCTTTATTCAGACCATCCCTCCTAAGAGCCCAGTAGCCATAGCTCAGTAATAGCCCTCCCATCCGCCATCCGGGGAAGCGCTCCCTAGTGGCCAAGCTCCACCGAGAGGAACAAATTGTTAATTAATTATATTAATTAATTTTTTTAGTTATAGCTTCCTATTCATAAAAAAACAATGACTTACTTAAAAAAACACAAAACTTAAATTGCCTACTGTTCTGTTTATATGAAGTTTTTGATAGCTCTAGAGGTTTAGTAATCGTTAGTTTAAATATTTTCCTCTACTTATGGGAAACTCTGTATATTATTATCTATGAATATAAATGACAATTTAAGTAAAAGATTTTTTTTTTAAATATTTATTCAAAATATTTACAACTGTATTACAATATCCGGCCCGGGAAAATCTCGTATAGCCTAAACGGCGAGGTAGGGAAGAATAAAACAAAAAAAACAAAACTGTATTACAATATAAATATATCAAGTAAATGTGTACACAGGAATATAATCACATGAAAACGCTTGTTGAGAAACTACCCACTGGTAGGACTCTAACAATATAAGGAGATCAGGATGCCATCTTCTTTTCAGATGCCTTAGAGGAAAAGTAATATTTAGATATCAATTATATAGTTTCAAACCTACTACTAGACCCTAGCCTAGCTAGTTATTCAACTTTTCTTAATGAAATTTAGTTTAGACATTTTATTCATTCATTTATTATTTAATTTTTTGTTCCTCAAATTATTGGGGGAAGGAACCGATATTCTTGCCCTCTCAACATTTTTATTGAGGGGACCTTCGCCTTCCTGTAGTCTGCACCTATGGTTACCGATTATTTTCTTTAAGGCTTCTCTCTTCAGGTTCACTTCTCACAGAAATCCATTTCGCCTCTCGAGTCGCCTCCGTTTGCTTCTACAATGGATTTTAAAATGAACTTTTTGGTGTCTGCACCCAGAGGGCATCACTAATTCCTACTTTAATTTTTTGCAATAATTAAAGGAGTTAGGATTAGTGGGAGATCTGATACATAGCCATAATAATTTGGCTAATATGGTTTGGTATGGATTAGATGTAGGAGCTATTGAGGTAAATTTCTTAGATATTCTTGGGAAGTCCCTTACACAGTTAATTTTATGACTAGTTTTCTATTTCTATTTCTAAAGTTATCGGTAGCTAGCTCACTAAAACAGTATGGGACAATGGAATTGTCAATTTTAGCTGACATTATTCTTGAAAGTTCCTTCATTTTGAAACTTTCATAAAAACAAGGTTCTCTCTCGAAATTTATAACTACATCAAGATATGTCCCCTTTAAAACTTACAAATCTCCTACAAATATGACTCCTGAAAGTACAACAATGTTGTAAAAGAAAAGGGGAAAGCGGGTGATAGAAACATGCAGAGCCAGGATTTAATTTTGAGGGGCTTCATCAGCCCGAAAGCATTTTTTTCATAAAAATATGGAATAATTACTTTGGAAAAAAAGAAAGAAAGTAACTACCTATATGAAATGGTGTTAAGTGATTCCTAAAGCCCTTTTAAATGTAATTAAATGAACAATAATACTTTGAGGTATTTTTTTCGATTAAACATGGTTATATTTTCCCATTTTACGTGCATTAGGTGCAGCTGAGGATTCTAGGTGTAAATTATGTGATCAAGCAAAAATGGATACAGACCACCTAGACAAATGTCCTGCTTTGGTGAACATAAGAAATAAAACATTTGTAAAGGAATATATAAAAAAATCAAACTTATACTGGGCAGCAAGATGTTGGATGGTCGGATGACCAACAACTTTGACAAAGGAAAAAAAAAAAAAAGTTAATGACTTTACATCTTATTCTCAATTTATGGTCCAATTTAAATGGTGAAACCATGAATAATGATTCATTTATTTATTCAGGAAAATCAAAAGTTAAAGCCATTCAATTTCTTTTATTTATAACAATAACAAATAGGTAACTATTATTATTGAACAATAATAATTTGAATATAAAAATTACAGCAACGTACAAAATGTTTTACTTATTTCTTTAAATCTAGAAATTAATGTGGGTGCTACAAAATTAATTTCTGTTTTTATAATGTAATAAAAGGTGTATTAACAATAAATTAAAACTAAACAAAAAGAATTAATTAATTTTATATCCTATATAACCTGAACTTTGACAGAATATAATACTGAATTATTATACTAAAATATACCAAAACCTAGGATATATAGTTTTCTTCAAATTTAGTACAATTGTCAAATAACACACATAAGTAATACTATGTTGACACTTAAAAAATGTAAATACTGTTTATTTCAAACAGACAAGTATTGAAATAGTTCAACCAAGCAATGTAATATCCCGTTTACATTCAGCCCACTTTCATGGAAGGAAGCAGAGAAGAAGACATGAGATTGGGCAATGTGAGAATTTAAAAACCCTGCACTAGCCCTGCCACTGCTTTTGCCCATGGCCGCTTTTGATGTAGGTGTCAATGGAACAGTGGTGCAAGTGGAGGGACGTGTTCAAACTCAGCTTCACTCCTCAGCAGTCTTATAGTACTTCACTTTTGGGGTTTTGACTATTTAATTTAGATGTTTTATCCTAGTTTTTGTTATTTCTTCTTTACTTTAGTTCAGTATGCAAGCAGATTGAAAAAAAATAGTTAACTTTATTATTTTATAATTTTTTTATTTTAAATTTATATTTTCAAACAATAAAATAGTTCTGGATTAAATTTTTTTTTGCCAGTTACTTTAGTTGACCATAATGATAAAATATGCAATAAATAAGTATTGCATTAATACATTTTTCTTTTTGTTTATTCCTTTAATATTTTAATATAGAAAACCATTGATATTTTTAAAATTTATGAAAGATCCATAAAAATGCATTTCTGCATTCATAAGGATCTCGAACGCTCATAAACAATCTTATTGCAAGACCATACTTAATTAACAATGGTAAAAATAAACTAATTTTATTGAAAAGAAAAACAGTGGTAATACTATAAATAGCTACAATTTGAAAAATAAATAAGTACAAATTTTGGGGAGTATAGCACTCCAATATTAATACATATATATACTGTTCTTTTTTTTTTTTTTTTTTTTTTAATAAGAGCTTAAAAAATAATAAATAATTTATATAAAACTCAATTTAAACATTATATATACATATTACATTTTAATCTGTTGGTGATGAAATATAAAAAATATTGGTATTATGATAAACCTTAGTTCTAAAAGAATTATTTAAAAAATAAATAAATAAAAACATTTTTACAAAACAAACGAGATATAAGCACCCATCAATAATAGTATCAAAGATATAAAATTAGTTCAAATATGAGACTAGTTTTGAATGTTCGTTGGCAGTAGAAGTTGTTTGGACTTTGTATCATGAAAACATTTATCATTTCAACAAAGCAAACTGATGGCCCCAGAGTCTGCTCCCAAAAGAAGGAGTCTAGTAAGAGGAAGTAGAGCCAAAGATGTTAGAACGCCTTTTAACGAGTCAGTTCTTAGTTTTGTAGAACTGTAACTTGCAGATGGATCAATGCCTGAATGGACACCGATTCTATTAGCTGTAGTTCCCCAGACCAACTCATTCCCAAATAATTCCAAACAATGAACAGGCTCAGTGGTTCCTCTGAAAAAATAATTATGAGTTAATGACATGAAATAGTTAAAATAAAAAAAGTTCCACATTCAAAGGGTTTTCTAAATTCTTTAACTTACTTAATGATTGAGTGTTGTATATTTTTGAGGAAGCAGATGGTACAGGGTGGCAGTCATAAAGAGACTAAAATAGTGGGAAAACTATTTTATTCAGAGTTGAAACTGAAACTCCTTTCTGAATGCACCTCTCTGAAGAAGACCTGCAAAGTCGGGTCGAAACGTTGGCTTGAAATAAAATAGTTTTCCCACTATTTTAGTCTCTTTATGACCACCACCCCGGACTATCTCCTTTAACTTACTTAAGGTTGTATAGCAGCTTTCCATCATTAATGTTCCAAAGAGAAACTGCTTGATCAAGGGCAGAGCTAACAAGAATATGTTCATCAACTGCTACCAGCTGCAAAACCTTAAAGCAATTCAGACATATTCGAAAATGTTATAAATAATAATGATAATAATGTTAATGTTGTTTCATTTTTATAACTTTCCAAGAATATATTTGTTTTAAATGAATGGATTCTTTTGAAAATGCATGCTTAATAATATAGATATATTTTATATCAATGAATTCTGAATTAATTTACTAATCAGACATTTAAATTTTATTACATAAATATTTTATTCACATTGTATCTTAGCGTAATTAATCCAACAGTAAAAGGAATCTTATGCCTTACTTCAGCTTCATGTGCCTTCCATGACGATATGATGCTACCCATTGTCATATCAATTACAGTAAGTTGTCCAGTGGCTTGTCCTACGGCTACCCATTTTGATTCTGGTGAAAGTACCATGCACCTAACTAAGCTACCACCACTTTGACTAATCTGAAAACAATATTGACAACATTCATTAAAAAAATTCTAATTTAAAATGAATTGTAGATGAATTCATCATCATATAACTGGCATAAATTTGATTAATTCATATTATGACCTTTATGAAAAATCTAGTGCTGTGCATAAATTTCATTGAATATACAGATAACCAAACTTCTTAGGTTAGTGGAGTAGAAGTAGGTGTTTTCATATAAAGGTAATGGTACTGGTGGAAGGAACTTTCCCAGCAAGGAGGCTTATCGTGATCCTTTGTGCCAACCTCTGATGGCTACCTTGAGGTTGCCGCCGTGTTCTTACCAGGGTGGGAATGGGAACAACCTGGGGCCAACGAGAAATGAAAATTAACCGACCCAGATGGGAATCAAACCCACAACGTTCAGAACCAGGCATTTTGGGACCCACAACTCAACATGCTCGGCCATCCCGTCGTCTACATACAGGTAAGTGAGAGCACAAGTTATCAATGATACATCATATTCATTTTAACCTATTAATTATTATATGTGATTCCCACCAATATAATTTAAAAACAGAATTAAACATACCCACTTTGTTACCATATGTTAATAGGTGATGGTTTATAATTATAGGTTTATTATATCAATCCAAGTTTTTAATGAACCAATGCAATAAAAGATAATCTTACAATTTATTAATAATTATCATGGTTATGTGTAAGTCTTCTTCACAATATTATTAACTTATAAATAAAATATATTATGATTTTCTATAACAAAAATACTCATAAAAAATACAACATCTTAAAACTCAAAGGCATAGTCAATTTAAATTCACTATTTTTGAATTAAGATCCCAAATGATTCATACCAAAATAAAAAAATGTGCACCACTGCAACCCAAGAAGTGTCTTGGGCACAGTACTTTGTAAGGAATTACTGTTTCAAGACCAGTCGTTGTGCAGGTAGGTGACCAGCCCAGGATCATGCTAAACTTGAAAGAAAACCATCAGGTTTTCTCCCCTAATTAATTATTATTTATAGAGGCTGTGTATACCCCACGAGTCTCTCGACCACAGGGTTGATCTATGACTGATGAAACAAAATAAATAATAACTTGCCATCAGCCGGATTCGGAACCAGAATCTTGAGCTTTGGAAATCTGAGCTACCCCGCTCTCCATGCCAAAATAAACAAAACTTTATTATAAAGTGTTTTCAAGGAATTAATTACCATTTGACCACATACATTTAGTTCATATGACATTTCAAGCCTCATTGGCCCAATATCAAGTTATCTATAAAATAAAAAATAAAAAATGACAAATACATATCATTTTAATTATATTGTAACTTACAAAATCAAAAATCATTGTTTCTTAACAATGTATTAGACAATTTTTTTTTTGTTTGGCCAATGAGGCTTGAAACATTGTTAATGACAGGAATAAATGAATGAGTTCAAAGGGTCATTAATTCCATGTAAACACTTGAGATTATAGTATGAAAAAGTAGTTTTGAAAAATAGTTCTTTGATTAGTAACTAAATATAAACAAAACTTTAATACCAACCTTCAGTTCTCGAACATAAGCACCAACACGAGTATCAAGTGATCTCAAAGTTGGATCAGTTGTGGCACACAGAACTTCAGGTGAAGATTCACGGCAAGCCTTTATTGTATTTACGACACCTCTAGTTCCATCAATTACTGATACTTGGCGGCCAACAAATGGATCCCATAAATGAAGTACTGAATCAGACGAAGCTGTCAAACGGGTTCTTTCAACCCAAGCAAGTGAAAGTACTGATTTACGATGCTCACTATAAGTCCACTGGGCATGGCTAACATGACTACCATCTCCCTTTTAGGCAGGAAAAAAAAGAAAAATCAGTACTTATCTTTAAATTATATAAAACAAAATAAAGAAGTAACAAATATAAAGGACAAAATAGATATAGCAGTAGAAAAATGCATCATTAGGATAATTTAAGGAGAAAAATATATAAACTGAAAACAACATTAATATTCATTCAAATTCAAAGCCGTAAAAGAAATTTATTGATGTTGGTGATAATGCGATTTGCTCTATCAGCAGCCCTTTTGCTCATATACCTGGCCTTAGGGTAGGTATTCATTCCAAGTATTATTAGTATATACATATTTATTTTTACCTTTTTTTTTGTTTCAAATTTAGTGACTTGTAGAAAGATGTGCTAAAGATGTAGAAAATAAACAATGATATATAATTCAATACTAATATTTTCTTATTTCGACAAAGACATTTTTTTACATGAACTGTTGATAATCCGACAACTGTAAAGAGAAAATTACGAAATGTATTGTAATAGAGGTAACTAGGTGATTAATTTACATCATCCCATTTTTTTAACCTAATGAGCACTAATGTTTTTTATGATACCCTTGCCTTATCCATAGTTATGGAACAACCATTTGGTCAATTTATTATAAAATATTTATAATTGTATGGTTATTAAGCAGAAATTATAATTGATTAAAATATTTTTCTCTCGAGTATATGTAAAAGAATATAATGGTATGAAAATAATTGTCCATAGTTCTAATTTAAACAGAAGCTGATCAGGAGTGCAGTCAATAGACACATAATATATTATAGTAGGGTTTATTTCAGTGGCCCAACTTACATCAGGGAATTGCTTCGAGCATTGACCAAAAGAGCGAGTGGACTTCTCTATTCCAGTTAGACTAACATAATAAACTATTGGGTTGGCAAATAAATCCTTTTGGTTTTTCAGGGTGAAATAAAACTCAATGCATTATAAAGATAAAATTTATTTTAATCTACAATATACTGACCATTATTTAATATGACTTTTTGCCATCTTTCCACTAACTGCATAATACAATGTTCATAGAATGTCTGCAGTTTATTGTTAAAAAACTGATCCAAATGTTTTTCATCTCCCTTTTGGAATTTCTTTCCATTCATGGAGTTCTGCAGAGACCAAAATAAGTGTTAAGTCACTTGGAGCTAGGTCTTATGAATAGGGAGGGTGGGGCAAAAGGTCCTATTCAAGGCTCAATAATTTATTGCGAGTGACCAATGAGATGTGGGGCCTAGCGTTGCCTTGGTGGAACACAACACCCTTCCGATCATTCAAAACTCTTCAGGATGTTCTCCAAATTAAATGTTATTATGTTTTTTTTATTTAATGCCTACATAAAGAATAAATTAACAAAAACTTCTTATAGGTTTTTATTTCTTATATCCGATTTTAGTTTGTTTACAGAAGTCCTGTTGATGTCATTTTGTATAGTTTATGTGGCACTAAATTCCTGCTAAATTTATTGTAGATAGCTAATACAGATGCAATAAATAGATCTAGAGAGAAAAACAGGTCAATAAGGTATATCCGTCCAGAGCGAATGAAAGGAGGTTGGCGTTGAGATCGCCTGCAATAATAATATTTTTAAACAGAGTACATGTAAAGAGGGAGAATTCAAATGTAGGAATAAATAACGATGTAGAATAGGGAGAAGGTTCTAGATGAAACTTGGACAAATAGATATTCAATTTGTGGGATGTCAGAAGGAGATTTTAAAAGGATTTTAGCTCTCAAACTATTATGAACGAACAGACCAACTCCTCCGGATTGATCTGCTCGATCACGACGAAAGAGGGTATAGTCGGGTAAGGAAACAGATGAAGGGGGGTATCAGATTTGAGACAGGTTTCGGATACAGCAATAATATGGTAGAAATTGTGGTGAAAATATTTGTTTACGCTTGTGTGCGACATATTTAGGGCCATAGCAATCTCTCGCACTGATTGGGTGGAATTTTGATCAATAATGGCCTTAACATTGCTCATTTCAATTTCATGTGGGCGACTAGACCATTGAGCATCATTGATGTCAAAATTTCCTGAATGAAATTTAGCAAACCAATTTTGACAGGTGCGTTCGGTTAAGGCATCATCCCCATAATACTGCCAATTTTTCTATGAGCTTCCGCAGTACGCTTACCTTTTTTAAAATAATACAACAAAATATGTCGATAAAAAACCTGTACCGCTACAATCCATGAAGGGTTCAGCATTATTTAGGAAAAGCACTGTTTCTTGGTCTACGGTTGTGCAATGAGGTGATTTGACCGAGATCATGCTCAACCACCAGGTTTTCTCCCTTAATTAATTAATAATTAATTAAGAGTACCAACTTTATAGAGGCTGGGTGTGCTCTAGGAGGGTCTACTTACTCAGGGTCACCTCACGGCCAAAGAAACAGAATAAATAATATTTCTGCCATGAGTCAGGATTCGAACCTGGGACGGGCGGGACCTTTAGCGTTGGAAGATCAGTACCTTACCACTAAGAAACCTCCAGGGCCATTTTTTTTTTTTTTTTCTTCACAGTGCAATAGCAAAAACAATACTAAGCTAGTTTCAACAAGAGTTAACAGATGTAGTTGTAGACATATTACAAACAGGAAACAATCCCCACCTTAGGGATTAATTTATCAGATAAGAAATGTATCATAATCACATAAAAATAAACAGAAAAATCTAAAGGATTTATTTGCAAACTCAATACTACTAATAATAGTTTGTGTCTGCTGACCACACCCTCAATCAACTTCCCTATAAAGTAAAATAATACAATAGATATTCTTAATGAAAAATTAACATTAACAATATATGAACAAATAACTAGGAAGCTAATACCTGACTTCTAAGTGACCAAAGCCTAACAGTTTTATCCCTTGATGCTGACATAAAACTGTTTTCACTTCCAAGAGGAATAATATGTTTCACAGTGTTAGTATGGCCAGCAAAAGCCTGAAGTTTAATTTGTTTTATGTTAAGGCCACTGTTCTTTTGATTCCTTCCTAATTCATGTTCCCAATATGCCAACCAATTTCCGTGAAGATGCCTGCAACAGTTATGAAATTAGAGGTAAGTTGAACCTTTAAAAATTAGATAATATATTATATAACAAGGTATAAATTGCATCCCCCAAGTATTTTGAGTGGGATCCACACCTTAAACAAGGATTAGAGGATCTCAATTTCAGCATTTTCCACATTCAAGAATCAGAAATTAGAACTGCACGATATACAAATACTGGTTCCTCGCACACAAAAGACAAAAAAAATCAGGTGTTTTAGTGATGGTCAGCATGAGTAAGATCTTTTTTTTTTCATGATAAAAGTAGATGGTGACTAACTTGAAACAAAGATGTTTTGTTTTCTTGAAAATTACTAACCATGTTTCCTAGTCGAATCCCTGATATCACAAGGGTTTTATTCATGTTTTAAGAAGTTTAAAGGAAGTGGATTAAATTTTGCATATAATTATAAATAATAATTTGCTAATTTAATCAACTGAATAAAATTCTGAAAGAAATCCTCACGGTAAATCTATTTTGGTATTGCAAATTTGCAAAACAAACTCTCAACATGGTATTAAAAATTGGTTGAGAACTCACTAAACAAAATTTGATTTCCGATAAACACAAACACAAAACAAATAAAATTCTTTGAATTAGAGGCCTAACGAAGATTAAAAAATTCAACATAAAGATGGTTAGGTAAAGGAACTATACAATATAAAAGCTCTATAATAAATCCTTCAAAACATGCTTGTGCCCTTAGTATTATTGGTTTATTTATTGGTCTGCCGTACACCTTTTTTATTAAGATTATAGTAGTAATCAGAACTGCATATTTCAGTATAGAACTTTTTCTACACCACAGTATGAAAATTTATGTTGAAAACTCTTTACACTAAAGATAACTAAATTAAATGCTAAACTATAACAAACAGGAAAATTAATTTATTTACCTGCTGATGTTTTCAGATTTTTTTGTATTCCTTGATGAGGTTTCATCTACGGCTGGACTTACAGACTTAGGTTGTGCTTCCTGAAATTATTTTTAGATCTTACATTTTTGAAGAAAAATAAATATAAGGTTTGTAGCAATATTTACTGATCTGAATTATTTTATTTGTCTTCATTTTATTTATTTCCTAACCCTTAAAATATACCTTTGATAATTCCTAAACTTATATTAAATAAAAAACAATCATATTCCAGTAAATCTACATATATATATATATATATATATATATATATATATATATATATATATATATATATATATCCAGTAACTATATATATATATATATAGGAGTTCTGGAAACATCTCCTGTATTATTCATGATTACTTTTTTTAAAGGCAATCTCTTTATATTAAGTGAGTTTTGCATCTAAATTGAGATTTTTTTTGTTCACCCCTTCCTTGCCTTTTAGGCTACATACATGGTGGACCAGACCCCCTACTGTCCAATCCCCCTTCCCTTCCTCACATCCCTATAAATTGCATATCCTTATAACTATTTATTAAAAAAAAAAACCAATGGTACCACAAAAAAAGTTGCCGCAATACCCCAAAATGGGAACTGACGATTTTGACGTGAGTTAGTTTTTTGTTGTTTTTTTTTTGGTCCTTGGATGTGAGTGGTTAGAAGTCCTGGTACCAGGAAGCGAACTTGTAATCAATCACCTGGTTGCTGCGCAACACATGTTAGCCCACTCGGCCATTCTCCCTCCCCCTCCTCCTACTGGGAAGCAAAGTCGTAATTATTATATCTTATAAATGCATGTTTGGCATGTGTGTCACCCCGTCGCATATTTAAATTGAGTTGTGGTTTGAGAAGTGCATTTGACATTAAACATTTTTGCAGGTTTTAACGCTTTATGCACTTCTATGGCCACTCCAAATTAATTTATTGAGTTAAAATTTGTAAATTTAGTTCATGTGAGAAAAGCTTTTCCTTTTTCCTTTTAAGCTCTCAACTTTTTCTTCCACTTCCCTTTAAATTAAGAAATTAATTAAGAAATTCCCTTAAGTAAATTTTTTAAAATAAGAAGATTTGCATTCATGAAAAAGGTTATAAAAGTGTTATAAAAGGTGTTCATAATCATAAATTTCTACTGAAGGAACAAATTGGTCCCTTGTCTGTCTGTAGTCAATTACAAGTGATGGACATATCACCTACTACCGTTTTTCAAAAAAATTTCATAGATTGATTAGGTGTCCTTATAAATTTCATCACATTCTACTCCAGACTAATGCTAACGCACTTGTAGATGTATTTTCTTTGATACACCCAAATTTTAGAAATGGCCCGTTCAATTTGGCTCAAAGCTGAAGGAAGTTAGGTGTTGCTTAAAGACGATGCTATATCAACCTTATTGAATTCCATTCAAGACTTTCTCTAGATATAAGCAAAATTATTTTTCTTCAATCGCTTATATCTCGAAAACCTTACGTTTGATTTGGCCCGAATTTGGAGAGAAGTTAGGGATTGATAAACAAACGACCAAGTAGGTAACGGTATCATCAAATTTCATCTATTAAATTAAATAAATACATACGCTTTCAAATTTGTAAACATATTGTTTTTAGCATACCTATAGTTTGATAACAGCTCCCTAAGTTGGAGTTTGAAGAATATTGTAAAACTCATCTAGTATCAATTTCATGAATTTTCATTTTACAATTAAAATTAATATAAATTACAGTTAAAACAATAAGAAAATAATAATGGCTGTGAAATTTGATAGGCACTGAATATGTGGAGAGGGGTCATATTCATACCTTTTCACTTTCACATACTAATATATGAAATATATAGTAAAGTATTGCGATCGTGAAAATTTTCGAATCTTCTTGTTCTCTAACAGGGTTTAAATGACTAATTTTAAACACTAGCTTCCCCTAAAGTACCTTTAATTTTTTTTATTTGAAACAATTGACCATTTCACATTAACCTCTAATATACAAGATAGTTAAATATAAAATTTGAAAGAATTTGATATTTAACTAAAGGAGAAATAAGAAATCGTAATGGAGAATAGTTGTAATTGAGGAACCAAAGGAATATGATCGCACCCGAGCTCACTCGAAAGATTATAACAGGCTTCAATACATAACATGGTCTTAATATAATATAGACTCCGACAATATTATATAAATATACATAAGCGGTTTTCATAAATGCTATTGTTGGTATTATTTAATATTTAATTATATAGATTACACCGATATAAATATTAAAATTTGTATATATAAGGGTACTTGTACAAATAAAAAATACACACAATGAAACATAAATAAATATAGCGTCTATAATTTTTACTTTCACTTCCCCTTTGTCTGAAAATACTTATTTGTAAGTGAAAGTTGAGTGATGCACGCACCGCACCAGATTTTTTAACTGGTTATTGTAAAAAGGTAAGATATAGACATCAATAAATTATAAGTATGTACAAGCTTTCTTTTCATGTACTTTGTAAACTTCACTCATATTCTTATATTCCTCCTTTAATTAGTTTTGATCTGACTAATGAAAAAAATTTATTTTGTTAACACTGAAGAAACAAAATATTGAATTTTTTTAATGAATTTTTGTTCCATCTATTTTGGGAGTGAAAACATACCTATTAAGTACACAAGTATGTTCAATGTGTACATACATACAGTAATAGAAACTGTTTTATTTCATGAATTTTTTCTGTAGTTACGAATAATATAATACTCAATTCACAAATATAGAACTCATCTGGATTTTCGTATTCACAGATACTGAAAACTCCTGGTTATTAAATCCAAAATTTGAGGGATTACTGTATTTCAAAAATGGTTTTCAAACAAAAAAAAAATTGAAACTTGTGAGAAACTGGTGTTACTTGGCAGAGGTTTTTTATTTCTCTGTTCATAAAATACTATTATCTTACCTGAACCATTTTTCCTAGTTATTTCAGTATCTTTTAAATTAAAACGAAAATGTAAGTATTTTATTTTTATTTTTGCAATGTTTTATGAAGTACTTTTAATGCTTGAGATAAATAAACATATAAAAATCTCTCAAGAAAAGGTATTGCTTTATAATACTACAATTAGGCCCATATAGGACATGGGAGAGTTCTAAGAAGAATATTTGGACCTGTGCGAGAGGATGATGGGTTTAGAATGAGAAGAACTCAGAGCTGAAAGAACTATTTCCAGAAGCGGACATAGTTAATTTCATAAAAAAAATAAGATTGGGCTGGCTTGGACATGTCGAAAGGATGCCTACATCGAGATTGCCAAGGCAAATGCTATACGGTTATCCTGGTGGCTCACGAAGGAGAGGTAAGCCCCGTAAACGATGGCTGGGCGATGTGGAAGAGTAACTCCGCCAGCTGAACATCAGGCGATGGCGAACTAAAGCGAAGGATGAAGTAGAATGGAGGATATTGGAGGAGGCTTTGGTTCTTAATGGACCATAACGCCATGCATTAAGTAAGTAAGTAAGAAACATATTATTAACAGTTGCTCGGTCATTTTGATTTTTTTTAGCAATGCTGACCAACAATATTATGTATAATTCTAGAACATCTTATTTAATTAAGAGCACAACAAAAAAAATTACCATTTTTTTTTTTTTTTTATATTCCCATAGATTTCTAGGTTTTTTCGTGGTTTGAGAAATTCCCATATAATTCCAGTTTTCAGGAAATTCCTGGTTGCTGGACACCCTGATAATAAACAGGTATGTATGACTTTCCTTCTCTAATATATACACAGCGCCATTGGCGAAATTAACAAAGTCGCTATTGGAATCGAATGGAATCATTTGATTCTAGTGAACTAAATTCATTAGCAGAAGAAATAATGAATAATTTGTTTGTGAAATTTTTTTTTTTAAACTTATAAATGAACAACTTTATAATTCTGTTTTACCTGTATTTCAATCCTATTTCCAATGATAATCACATTTCCAAAACTCCCAACAGGTGTCAATGGTGACTCCTCGGGGATGCTTCGTGGTTCAATTTCACATCTTTCTAGACATAAAATAAAATTATTAGATGTTTTTCATCTACACTATCAAATAGGACAGCTAACTCGCTAATTGTAACTGTGAGCTGCAAAAACTATTGGACAGATTTACTTGTGTTTTTTTAGAGAATGATCTGTGTTGTCTTGAGACAGTTTTAAGCTATTGACATTCTGGATCTAAAAGAGTTGGAATTTAAAAAGTGTAAACAGATCTTAAAATAAAAATAGTATATCTGTTAAATACTTTAAATTTCTTTTTTAAAAAGAAAATGTTTGAACATTGTTCAAGTTTATTAAAAAACACAGTTTAAATGAAGAAAATTTAAAAACACAATAACTAGCAAATTTAGAAAATAAAATTACTTGAAACATTGTAGGCAGTTTCTTTGTAGTATGAAGAACAAAGATCTTTAATTAATTCATGATTTTTTAGTGTTTGTTCCATAACATTTTCTCCAAAGAAGTCAGCGAATGGTGTGTAACTAAGATAAGCAAATTCAGGACCCAAAGCTTCCTTTAACTCCTGTTGTGCCTATGAAACAATAAAGAAAATTAAAATTTATTGCAAAAAAAGTAATAAATAATACAATTTTCATAAAAATAAAAATATTAATAACTCAACTAAAAATATATGTAACACTTAAAATACAAAATGGAACTGAGACTTGAATAACAGGTGAACAATAATTTTGTTCCTAGCCCCCGTACTTATTGTACTTATAAAATTCTTCACTACGACTGCTTCAGACTCACTGTTTTGGCAGCCTTTGATTTTGTCTCCAATTATCTTTCTCTTCGATTCTCTCTTATTTCCTTATTTCTTTGTCTTTCTATGAGCTTGTTTTTCTTTCACTTCATATATTCTACCTAGCTATTCTTAGGCCTTACATATAAACTTCTTGTCACTGCTTGGAAGTAAAGCCACCTGGGCTGGTACTTCTCCACTTCTCTTCTAAGGACAAATTGTAGTTTAAGGTCATCAAGTATTTCTGTGATGTTGAGAGGACAAGGGTAACATTAAAATGCTGCTGCTGAACTTTGATTAGAAGTAGTAATCACAATATAAAATTGAGACTATCAGAAACATTATGAAGTTTTTTAGTTACAGATTTGATTTGTCGGTAATTGTAATTATTGTAATTACAAAAGTTACCTTAGAAATAAATATGTCAACAGATACTATAAAAAACATTTTATGTTTAAAATATAAATATAGCATTCATTATGCTTTTATAATGCTAATTATCATAACGATTATATTATCTTGATTTAGATAAATTAAAAAAATAAAACAAACTAAATATAAAATTGAATGATTACTTCAGATTTGATGCTTGTTTCAATAACAGTAGAGGCAGCTTTATTACAAAATTCATCTTTTTCAGTTGTCTTCACATCACAAACCACTTCAACACCAGTTTTTCTGAAAAAAATTTATCAAAATACATAAATAGTCAAGCATAATTATTTATTTAAACATAATCAAAACTTTTTAGAATGAGCACGAATCTCAGAGGATGAAATCTCTAAAAAAATAATGAGGGAGGCAATTCATAGCACCGCGTCTTAGATGGATGAATGGTGTAGCAGAAGATGCACGGACGATCCTAGGAGTCAGGGACTGCAGTACTGCTGCCCAACGGTGTGAAGACTGGCGGAAGCTATATGAGGAAGCCAGGGATCAGTAATGGTCTGTCGATCCAAGGGAAGAAGAATTAAAACTTTGCCAGAATCTTAAAATATACATTTTTTTCCATCATATAGCATTCATTTTGTGATACAAGATAAAATTAACCAATTCTTCTCGAACCTTTATTAAATTGTTTAGAATAACAAAGTGATTTAATTAATGAGAAACCAATCCAAAATATCATAAATAAAAGAAGTATGAAAAAAAAATTCCCATCAATTTTTGTTGCCGCAAGCACAAGAAAATCAGGGAGGAAAAACAATCCAAATATTTTTAAACTAATCTCAGATAGGATGTTATTAATTTACACTCGGGTGCCTTCTCAGAGATCTCAAAAAATTATGTGCCAGAAGTGCAATATTATAACTGAAACAACTTAAAATATTATGCAAGAGTGAACTAAACTTGAGTCGATCGGATAGAATTTAGTATTATCAAACAAAACTTAATGAAATATTGCTAAAAGAGAAAATCTTCCATTAGTTTCAATTTTTAAAGAAAATAAACTAAATTATAATTATAAGAAAATTATAATAGAATATAAAGATGATTTATCGAAGTTTATTACACTGTAGGATAGAAGCAAAACCATATTACATAAATGTGAATAGAAATAGATATTTTTATATAAAGAGAAGTCGAAGTAAAAATTATAGACTGTATAACATAATCATTTAAAACAATTAACTATCATATATTTTTCAAAAAAATCTAATCTATTAAATTTATCCATTTTTCAGTAGGATTTTGAAGCTAAATCCGCAATAGCCATTTATTACTTCTCTAGGAAACAGCAGGCTTGTTGAACCAACAAGTATTAAGCAAGGATCAACCAATCCTCTGACTATAACATCTTAAATACAAAGCATAAATTTCACAGAGCTTTTAATAACAAAAAATTGATCAAGAATCTGTTCATTTCCTTCTACGACTGAATATTTTGATTATTTATTTAATTATAAGAGTGCTAGAAATTTAGTCTGGTCCAGCAAGAGTGCCATGAAATGTTTTTAGCCTAATAAGGGTGCCATGGCAAAAGGAAATCACATAGGTGGGGAACTTTTTTAATCATTGTTAGTATTTTTATTAGGCATTACTACAAAATTATAGTTTTCATATTGCCTATCATATCTAATTAAATGTTAGTTAATATCAGAGCTATCATTTACACACACATGCACAAACACAACTTTGCAAAACTTGATTATTTGGACTTAAGGGACCTCAGAACGTGCATAACTACTGAAAACTCAGTTTCTAAATTTTTCACGATTGCAACAGGTAAGCAAAATAAAAAAATGTATTAAATACTTTGTGTATCTTGTCCAAATAAATATATCAAGTATAAACTATTAAATATATACAGCTATGTATGTATATATATAAGATAAGAAATAGCAACAGCTACTTAGCAGGAAAAGTTAAAAATGCATCTGGACACACTGATATTCATATTCTATTAGGTATTTTTAAAAAAACACAATAATAAAGGTTTTATAAAAAATATTGAATTCATGTACCTGTCACAATTAGCTTTAGATAAAACGAGAAAAAACCTTTGTAAGGTTTGCAGAAGAATTAGCCTCTGTTGAGGACTGGCATGACTGCTCAGTGAGATGAGCAATGAAAGGATTTTGAGCCCAAATCCATGGCGGCCATTTACTCCACTAGGAAACAGCAGGCTTCTTGAACCAACAAGTCTCAAGCAGGGATCAACCACGCCTCTGATTATACCATCCTAAGTACAAAACAACAGTCAGAGTTTTCAATTTTTTTTTTTTTTAAGAAAATGTATATGTTATGCAATGTTTATAGCTTGAAATGGTTTACTGTTGATTCTTTATAGGACTAGTGTTATGAAAAGGGGAAAAAAAGAAAGGAAAGGTATGGATGGATGGATATATATATATATATATATATATATATATATAGAAAAATGTAATATAATAGTTATGTCCACATGGATTGAAAAGTATGCTGTGTATGAAGCAACCCTATGTAGTAGGGCAGTATTACTTTTAATGAAATATTTCTCTCAAAAATTGTATTCAAGAATCTTTGTTGTTAATATTATAATAAAAGCACATTATACAAATTATTACTAAATAGAACAAGAATACAAATATTTATTTCAATGTTGCATCACACATTAAGCTACATTATTTTCAGGACGATGCAAATAATAAAATATAAATATAAAAAATTAGAAATAAAATAAATTCTTATTTACCTGTAAAATATCATTGAAAGTAGATTCAGTGAAAAAAGGAATTATATAGGAAAGTAATGACAGAGAACCAATAAGGGCTCCTTCCAATGATGGAGTAAGTTTCCGTTTACAAAGAGCAACTAAGTCTGTTATATGAGGAAGGTATTGGCAAACTATCACCTGATCTCCAAAAACACCTAAAATCATCAAAAATACTATTGTCAAAACATAATATGACAGCAAAATTCCATGGATACAAGAGAAGAAAATTACAACTTGAGTATGGGCAGAAAATAACACTTTCCATGATTTTTATTACAGAATAAAACTGTTAATAAAAAAAAAATTATAACGGTATCGTTATGAAATACTATACTATCCTCTTGATATATAAAAATATATTAACTAATATGATGGGTATAATTTCTCTTAAACTGCCAGTTTAATTTTTTGTTACAACAGTAGTTTGAATAATTACTGTCACTAATAATAAAAATATATAATTATAAAATAACTGTCCCAACCATTAAATTTGACATGTTTATGAAATAATACATTTAGGGATAAAGTAATCTCCTGACAGATTTGATATAATATTTTTACTTAATTAGATTGAATTCTAACCAATATGAAACTTAGTGTAAAGTTTCTATCCACAAATCACACTCATGCTCGTGACTCGTTTATCCTAAATCTTATAATACTGCTTCTAAATGGTTTACAAATGAAATACAGGTTGTTGGTTGTTCTTTCTTTTTAAATACTTTTGATGATTGTATGAGTAAATCAAACTGGTTATGGAAAGCAATCTCAAAATGAATACAATTTCTTTTGAGGATGGGCCCAAGTGGTTTGAAAGATGGATCAGATAAATCAATAAAAAAATATTTAAATTATGAAGGGTTTAATTTCTGCTTCAATTCAAAATAAAAATTCCATTTCATTTCACACTCCAAATTGAAACTTTTATCAATTCATTCACTTTTGGCTTTAAATAAAAATATCTTGTTAATTTACAACATTTAAGTATCAAAATTAATACAGAGTATACATCCCTTAATAAATGCTTCTCATAAAGATAGCTAATAAATCAACTACAATATTTAACTGATTTAAAAATTCTGCTTCTAATATGTTAATCTTAATTAATCTCATTCTTAAACATAAATTGGGAAGATGGTATGACATCAAAATCATGAAAATTGTCATAATGACCTATTTATTATTCAACAAGACAAAACTTGGTGAAAAAAAAAATCTTTAAAGCATTAAAAAACATGAGTGTAAAACAAGATGAAACATCAAATAAAATTCATTGAACTGCTAAGCTAGGTTAAAATCATTTTAGATAAAAGTAGTTTCCTTCTGTTTAACATCTTTTATATGTATCTACACAATCATTTCTACAGAATTAATATAATCATTATGTGATATTGGTGAAAATAAATATAATTTGAAGTTCCTTTTTAAATTCTAAACACCTTAAGATAGATAAAATTACTTTAAGGAGGTCATAAATAATAAATGTTAAGAATAATTAATAAAAAAGAAATGTATTAAAATGTATTTTTTTAAAGTATATACTATATACATAGTGAAAAAATATGCCTATGACTACATTTATTTAAACTTAACATCATTAATTAAATATGAAGTTACTGAAATAATTTATTAATCAATAGGCAGCCCATTCAGCATTTAATTTAACAAATATAGAAGAAAATGAAATTACCTGTTATTGATGCAAGTGAGCGCAATAGGTGAGTAGTAGTAGAATCTCCTGTTAGAGAATAATCAGATGAAATCAGCTGAGCTGCTCCTGTGTAGGCTAGACCAAGCAGGCGAAGAAGTGACCTTCCGATATGGATTGAGGTCAACACAGGTCCAAGGCGAGGAGCCAGCCAGGCGAGGCTATCAGTTGACACCTCACACACCTCCCCCACATACGTCTTAGTAGGGTCCCACCCAACACACCCAAGGCAAATTAGATACTCAAGATCTGGCCAGTGGATTTCAATATATCAAACGAGAATATTTTTTAAAATGAATAAGAAACGCTCATATCCATTGAGTCCTATTTCATTTATTAGTAGAATGCTGTATCAAAGCTCTTAAGCAAGCTTGCAGCTTAAGTCATGCTTATATTTAAAAAAGAAATGGTTGTTTAAATATATAGGATGTCCCGAAAAATAGTGGATAGCAGAAGTGCAGGAGTACCTGAATCGCCTCAAGTACTGTCCAATTATTTGTAGTTTTTGAGTTATGACTTTTAAGTCAAATCTAGAATTTCAAGAGGTTAATGATCATAGAAACATGTATTATTGAAATAAATGCTTGATTTTTTTTTTCTAATATAGGTGAATATTTTGTCAACACCACAGCAATTCCTGATAGAACTAATACATTTACGGCATAAAAACATGTTAGGTACAATTCTGAAATTACAGATATCAAATCTCAAAGTTAGATAGAATTTTAAATTTTTCAAGTAAGATTTTTAAAGAGCAGTCACTGACATAATTCCATATAAATTATTTTTAAGACTTGTCAATTTCATCATCTGTTAACTCTATAAATTTCATTGCATTATTTCAACAGCTTCATACTTACTCTATAATACAAAAAAATAAATAAAAACATGAGTTCTAAATATGAGATAAATAAATCAAAATAATAATTATCATTAATTTCATTGACAGCGTAAAAAGCGGGCTTAATGCCAATCACTAATAGACACAATCAATATCAATGATTGTGGCATATAGCTAGCTTTTTGGACTGTTGGCAAAGGACTTTGGCTAACTCAATTTTTTTGTTTTAACCCTTAGCCCATTATCAATGTTCAATCTACAATTATTTATTTTTGTATTGTAAAAAGTTTCAAAATGAAGAACTACTTGTTTAACACTAAACTTAAATCTATTATTAAGTTATATTTAAGTCATACAAATAATTAAGTTGCGGAGTCTAATACTATTGAACTACATTCTGCCATATTACTGGGGAGGGAAGCATAATACATATACTTTCCCTACATTAATGCAGGAAAAATTTAAATATTGTTACTATATCTGTATAATAAATGGGAAGTAATTAAATAAATAATAGTAATTTTTTTTTTAAGTATTTATATTTTATCAGGGATACACATATTTCTTTTGAATTGTTCGAATATTGATATGAAATAAAAATATTTCATCTCTTATAAATTCTGTAATGACTTGGTTTCCACTATGTGCTAATTTTTCTTACATAATTATTACTTTTACGAATTGTACCATTTTTTGCTTTTGTAATTTAAAATTCTAGAAATATATAAAAATAAACAAAATATCCACTCGAAGACAAATAAAATATACTTGAATACTTTAAAATATATGCAGTGATTAATCAACCATTGCTTGTGAAGAATCCTGGGGATGTGGTGACCTGAAAGAATCTCTAACGAAAAGCACTGGAGTACCACAGAGCAGCTTCCTATCCAACTCGAAATAATGAAAAAGAAATTGAAATTGATAGGACACACTTTGAGGAAAATACATAGTGCCATCAAGAAAGAAGCTTTTCAATGGAATCCCCAAGGAATAATAAGAAGTTCAAAATGACCTGAGCCGAGTTGGCAGAACTTGGCCAGAAGCAAAAATGATTGCTGCAAAAAGAGCAGAATGGAACACACTTATGCCATATGCTCCACCAGGAGTCAGCAGTGATAATAATGATAATAATTTAATATCCTATAAATAAATAAAATGAAACAAAACATCCACTCAAAGACTAATAAAGTATAGTGAAAAGTGGGGCTAAAAGTTCTCGTTTTTAAACTACTTCAAATATTATTTAGAAAATGATCCATTAACATAATGTATGGTAGCTTATAATTTGTACACATACTCTTATCTATAAATCTGAAAGACTTTTGGATTTACCTTCAACAAATGATTTTATATGAAATTTAGTATACAGGAAAACAGAAAGTAACAACTTACTCCCTCCCCTTCCCCCAACATGGGGTTAGTTGTTAACAAGGTGGGGTAAGTTGTTAATAGCCTTATCAGAAACATAGATGATATAAAAAATAATGATAAGATTTGATTTATTTATATACTCATTTATTTGAAACTAATCAACAATATATTTAGATTATTCATTCAAATAATTCTGATAATTTTAACAAAATTATGAAACAAGAGATATAATTCTCCTTTGGTGTTTTAACATCTAATAGTAATCACTTATAATCACTTCACATCTCTAAGTTGTACTTTCAGATAATACATTATCTCACTTTGCAATTAACAGCTGATGTAGATTATAATTAATCTTATAAGAATCACAGAACATTATGATTTTTTAAAAATGATCAAATGAGCCATCAGAACTTTTTATTGCAATGGGGTAAGTTTGTCCGAGGTCAAAACATGCTCCAAAGAAAACGAACATTTAGCTCCAAATAATACATTCTCACATAAAGCAAAATGACAGAATAAGTTATAAAACAAACTTAATTTTGACGTTAGCATATCAATAGTAAATGTATCTTTATAGGAAAAAACTAAAAGCTAACTAAAAAAATAAATGAAATTGACCAAAATCAGCAAAGATGAAAATAATTACTCACGCGGATCAGAGGCAAAACAATGATACGGCAATACCTCAGGATTCCACTGGTCTGACTAACATAATGGCCGTCAGTGGGGTGTTAGTTACTATATCGCGACACACTTCAGACTTATATTTATCTCTTTTCATTTTGGAGCTATCTCACATGGAACAACTTGTCCCAATAACTTTTAGCCCCGCTCCCCCCCTATTCTAAAATATATGTACTGATTTATCTTAGATAATTATTCCTTTTGAAAACCGAACATTTTTGCTTATTAAATTGCAATTTCAATATATAAGAAACAAGAAATACAAAAAAAACAAAAACTGAACATTCATATTTTTTTATCATTTTGGATTTCCCATAAAATGACACATCTGTTTTTTATACCTATATCTAATTTTTAACCAAATTTTACAAAACTCAATCAAATAGAAGTGCAAGTTTATGGAAAAATTAGCAACAAATGCAAGAGTGTCCAGCTCATTGAGGTTCGAATATTTTAATAATAATAATAATAAGAGGAACAATAAACACACTCATTGTTAAGAGTAATATTTACAAGGTGTCCCAAGAGCTCACTCTCAATTTATTATCTCAAACTGTTATTTAAATATGGTAATTTAAAGGATTTATTTAAGTTTTTCTTTTTTTCTTTTTAACATTAATACTTATAAGTTTTTTAATAATAAGTATTTAATAAGTTTTTCTTTTTAACATTAATACTTATAAGTTTTTTAATAATAAGTATTTAATAAGTTTTTCTTTTTAACATTAATACTTATAAGTTTTTTAATAATAAGTATTTAATAAGTTTTTCTTTTTAACATTAATACTTATATTTTCCATTATGTATTATAATTAGAGGTGCAATAAAAAGCACCCCAAAAGTTTTCAGTAGTAACATAAGAAAGGAAGGAAGCCAAGAAGCAAACATGGGAAGAAGTTGGAGAATAGCCATCAAGAAAATATACGAGTGTTCTGGAACACAGTACATTCACTTAGAGGTAAAAAGGGAAAAACAGTGAGCAGCATCAAGGACAGGCAAGGAAATCTTATCATAAAAGAGGAAAATACCCTTCAAAATTGGTGAACCCTCTATCAGGTAAGGCTCTCTATACAAGAAAGGAGAGATGAGTTTGTTGATCTAAGAAGCCCAACAGCACAGGGAACTCAGCTGGACGACATGGATGACAATATTTGGGAGGATGAGGTAGAGCTGGCTGTATCAGAATTCCAGCTGGGTAAAACAGCTGGTATCGATGAAATTGCACCCAACCACAGCAAGGAAACCCAATCCTTTGTGAAAACTACAGACCAATATGTTTGTCCCCAATGGTATACAAGGTTTACATATTCTTGAAAGATTAAGGGAAATGGTTGAGGGGAATCTTAGGAAGAACAAGCATCATTTAGACCAAGTAGGCAGATCCAAGATCACATTTTCAACTTATGCACAATAATAGATAAAGCATGGGACTTTAGCTATTATTTAGAAATTTAGGGAAAATGTATAGTTGGCATTCTTAGATTAGAAGGCTGCCTTCGACTCTGTTCTCCAAGAGGAAACTTGGAAATCAATGTTGAACAAAAAAATACCCAACAACCTCATACAAGCAATACAGTCAATATACCAGAATCCAAAAGGCATTGTCTGACTTAATGAAAATAATTCATAACATTTTAGGTTTTATAAGGGTGTCAAACAGGGAGACAGCCTCAGCCCACTCCTATAGTCTTTATGGATGAAATATGGAAGGTCTGGAAAAGGAGAACACTGAGAACAGAGGTAGGATGTTGAAATCTAAGAATCTAACAGATCCGCAATGTAAGTATCCGGGAGAACCTCGAGGTATTACCTGTCGGAGAGGTAGTGGAACAGAGCTAATTGAAATGGTTTGGCCATGTGAGTAGAATGGGCAATGAAAGAAGGGTTAAATGGTTAATGGAGGCGAGACCAGATGGAAAGCACCCACAAGGCCGGCCAAGCCAGATGTACATGGATTACCTCATAAGGCTTGGGAGAGTAGGAATCAGCTCTCTTACAGAAATGAAGGACATGGCGAATGATCGTGACAATTGAAGAAGATAGACCGAGACTAAACATCCACATCTGGTGGTATCTTGGAAGTAGAGAAAGAAGAAGATGGGAAAAATCAAAATATTGACAAGGTACATGGCAACTAAGCAATGGGCCTTTCATTACCAATCAATTTGTCTCCAAACATAACAAGTCTATAATTCCTAATAAATAGAACAAAAAATAGGCACAGTAAGGTCAACAAAATTGAAATAAAATTAATTAAGAAGATGCAGGGTTTCTAATGTATT